TAATCACGATCATGATGCTTACCCAGGGTTCCGGGTTTACGTTCAAGCAACACCTCTCCAGTTGTTGATCTGAAGGATATTCGCATCTTCGATTTTCTACTTGTATGCAGAGATATATTCCCAAAAAGTAATTGTGATTCAGGCGACTAATCGCGTGCCGCTGTCGCAGTTGGGACTCTCGGAAAAAGAGATCTACGCTCTTTGTGCGAGGTTCGCACCAGTCGCTGCCAAGGTAGGAGGTTCTTCACTTCGTTCTCAGGAGGGTCAACACGCTTTGATTGCTGTTCAAGTATATTAATTTTCAGCACTGCTACGTTTCAAAAGTCGAGGAGCAGTTCTTGGAGAAATGTCGCGGATATAATCAGGACTGCGCACAGTTCCAAGCTAAGGTAAGTGCCTCATCAAATTTGATTCTACCACGTTCTTTTTGGTTCAGAACTGAGGCTCAAATTCTCTATTAACACCCAGATGATAAGTGATGTAGTGGTTAGCGGCGCTGCTCACCACGCGCCTGGTCCGGGGAACGGCTGCGTGACGTTCAGGTCAGCGAATCCTGCTCAACCAGTCAAATGCGACCCGAGTTGAGAAGAATTCGCGTTGTCTGACAGGGTGAAAATGGTGACCCCTACATCGGCTACACCCCTTGTGTAGACCAAATCGCATTTGAAATGCCGCTACGATCCAAATGGAGGTGGAACGCGTGGCGTATACCAAAAAGTGGTAGATCACCGCCGAACGTTAAGTCTTTTATGTTCCTATTCAAAATCTATTGTATAAGTAAACCAATTGATTTACTCCAATTTTTAGACGATTTCCATGCGTGCATGAATTAATGCATTCGTACAGTTGTTCGGGAACCTTAATCTTTTTAGCCTTAATTTATAATATTTTTAGGAAAAGAAATTTTTTCCTTTCTTATGTGGCAGGCGGGTGCAATAGCTGGGCAACGGTGGGTTGGAAGCAAAGGCCAGAAGGAAAAGTTTGTCCGAAGCGACCACCAGTAGTGCGTAGTAGAAATATGTTGTCGCCTAATACAGACCTCCAAGAGTCGGGTGCAGCAAGCTCCGACTAGGGGTTTGGTCCCCGAATTCTGCTTCTCCACTCATGTAGATGACGTCTCGTGATCAGGAATAGGGGCGGGTCTGATGGTGGCAACTGTCACTGCACGGGCCGAAAGCTGAAAGCCCTTGCCCGGTCCGAAGATTGGAAAGCAAGAAAACACATTGAGTCATAGGATTCTTGACTTGTCCATTCCATCAAATAGTAAAATTCTATTGGAGATCACAAATTCTCAACTCCTTATAGAGTGATATTCGTTGTTGTTTTGCTCTCCATGGAGGTATGTGTAGATGGAACTGAACTGCCCATCCCAGGATGGCAATTTTCGTTCGCTTGCCATACTGCTTGCTTGTTGATTTTCTCAACTTCTACTCTCTGCAAATAGAGTGATAGTGACAATTCGAAGGGGTCCGACCCCGCGAGCCTGGGCGACTTGCCCCGCTCTCCCTTCTCATTGGGTCCTTGTTCCCTATTTTTCATTGCAGTTGGGCTGTATAAATTGTGATGCATCGCACTTATTTTCAGCATTTTTTCAACACAACATCACACCCACTCGAGCATTGGTCATGAAATTGAAGGGAGGTT